TTTCCTTAGCAGTCTATATCCTACATATGAATCTGGGATTAGGATCACTTGTGGCATTGGCAGCAACTATGACAGTGATGGCTGGCAACATACCATTGACTAGAGTACAGAAGAGATATCAGTCTAAAATCATGGATGCCAAAGATGACAGGATGAAAGCTACTTCAGAAGTGCTTCGAAACATGAAGACCCTCAAGCTTCAAGCATGGGACAGTCATTATCTTCACAAGCTAGAAAGCCTAAGGAAAACAGAGTATAATTGGCTATGGAAGTCATTACGATTGTCAGCAGTATCAAGTTTTATTTTCTGGGGTTCTCCAGCGTTTATATCTGTGGTCACTTTTGGGGGGTGTGCTTTAATGGGGATTCCACTCACGGCAGGGCGAGTCTTATCTGCACTGGCTACATTCCGAATGTTACAAGATCCTATATTCAATTTGCCTGATTTACTCTCTGTCGTTGCACAGGGCAAAGTATCTGCAGATAGAGTTGCTTCTTACCTACAAGAAGATGAAATTCCGTCAGATGCAACTGAATCTGTTCCTAAAGATCAAACAGAATTTGACATTCAGATTGATAGTGGAAATTTTAGCTGGGATACTGAATCAAGACGCCCAACTCTTGACGGGATACAGTTAAAAGTGAAGAGGGGAATGAAGGTGGCCATCTGTGGCACAGTAGGGTCCGGAAAGTCAAGTTTGATCTCATGTATGCTGGGAGAAATGCCCAAACTCTCAGGAAGAGTGAAGATCAGTGGTAGAAAGGCCTATGTTCCTCAGTCCGCATGGATACTGACAGGAAATGTCAGAGAAAATATTCTCTTTGGCAAGCCTTACGATAGTGTTAAGTATGACAAAACTGTTGAAGCATGTGCTCTGACAAAAGATTTTGAGCTTTTCTCTGCTGGTGATCTAACAGAGATTGGAGAAAGAGGGATAAATATGAGTGGAGGCCAGAAGCAAAGGATACAAATTGCTCGTGCAGTCTACCAGGATGCCGATATATATCTGCTCGATGACCCTTTTAGTGCTGTGGACGCCCATACAGGCAGACAACTTTTTGAGGTTAGAAGTTCGAGACTCTTCACGACACATTGATAATGAGTGTCGGTTCTATGCATACAAGGATTTTGGTGACTGATCTTCTGCTTTATGTATTCTATACAGGACTGCTTGATGGGCATTCTTAAGGACAAGACTATCCTTTATGTGACTCACCAAGTTGAGTTCCTCCCAGCAGCAGATTTAATTCTGGTATGGCCTAAGCAGTATTTGTTTTTTGTGTCATGAGCTTCTTATTGAAAATCTATGATGTGATTCTATTGATGCTAGAAACTGAATCTATGCTGTGAATCTTAATTTTTTTGGTATCCAATTTCGAAAGCAATTGCTGAGTTAAAATCAAAATTCCGCATGTGTAATGAAAATGTAGAGTACAACTAAGGAACTACTTATAATTTTTTAGGCTGAGTGCTTGGGCCAAAGAGAATTCAGATAAATAGGTTTGAGTGATACAGAACATAGTACTTTTTAAAACTGAAGATGTTGTGTACTTCTGAAAATATTTAGAAACTCTCCATATTCTTTGGGTTTAATAATTTAAAATCAGAAAACATTATATTTTTTACAACCGTAACTACATTCAAAGAAAATACAAAGTATCCTTAACCACATTTTCAGACGAAAATTTGAAAGAACATCGGTAATAAAAAGTATCAGATGCTAATATCATATATGCCAACAGGTGATGCAAAATGGAAGAATTGCACAAGCTGGTACATTTGAAGAACTTATGAAACAAAATATTGGATTTGAGGTTCTAGTTGGAGCTCATAACCAAGCTCTGGAATCAATACTGACAGCGGAAAGCTCAAGCAGAACAACAGAACATGCAACAACTGATGGTGAATCCAATACAGAGCCCGGGCCAGATGCAGAATTTCCACCCACTAAGCAAGACTCGAGGCACAACCTCTGCGTTGAGATAACAGAAAAGGAAGGGAGATTGGTGCAGGATGAAGAGAGAGAGAAAGGAAGCATTGGAAAAGAAGTTTACTGGTCTTACCTTACCACTGTGAAAGGTGGTGCCTTAGTTCCAATCATAATTCTGGCCCAGTCATCATTCCAAATATTGCAGATAGCGAGCAACTACTGGATGGCATGGGCTTGTCCAACAGGCAATACTGAGCCAACAATTGCGATGAATTTCATATTGCTTGTTTACATGCTTCTTGCCGTTGGAAGTTCTATTTGTGTGCTGGTTCGAGCCACATTAGTGGCTATAACGGGCCTCCAAACAGCACAAAAGCTCTTCAGCAACATGCTGAACAGTTTCCTCCGCGCTCCCATGGCATTCTTTGATTCAACCCCAACTGGAAGAATCTTAAATCGGGTGAGTAAGATAGAGGTCACTGTAGCCATATTTTGTTCTTATTTCTGCTTGTCAAGTAATATAATGTAACAGCATCCCAATACGCATGATGGAATTTGCAAGTATAGCAACAGAATCAAGGAAAATAGGATATGCTACAAATAGATGAGGGGAAAAAACTAATATCAACTGAAAACTCATTTCAAATGGTAAGTTTCATATTATGAGTAATTAGTAAAATTAACTCGATAAGGAATACATGTAAAAGACACACGTTCACGCAACAAATTATTTTAAGGAAATCTTATAAAATACTTTACCATCGCTCACAAAGTTGGACAAGTTAATGGAAATTAATTTCAGAGGAAAATATTCAAAGAAAAAGCAATAGAAAAGACACCACAATGGCTAAAAGTAAAAGGCATTGTTTCAGCACGACATCATCCAACCTGAATGAAAATTGTGCATACAAGAAGAAATAAATATCTTTTCAAGATTCACAACCAACTCTACCGTTTCTCAGGGAAAAAAGCAGATTCAGAACCAACCAGTCAAAACTCCAAAATTTATTTACAAATCATGAAACACTTGTAAGGTGATTATTGCCATCTCTCTCTCTCTCTCTCCCTCTCCATGTGTGTGTGTGTGTGTGTGTATCTTACTAGCCACACAAACAAGTGTTAATTATAATTTCTTTTTAATGGAATCATTTTATAACCTGAAATATTATTTGAGAAACAGATACAAAAATACCTCTAGACCGAAATGCTTGAAATTGAACCTGGGCTCTGCTTTTAAATTTGTCAATGCAGTCTTTGTTCAATACTGGATGAAACAAAAAGTTTAAAATACTAAAGAGAAAAAGGGAAGAGGAGTGAAAAGATTGCTCATCCATTTTGACTTACTAAATATGAAAGATGAAACTAAAAGTTCAGATAGATTTGTTTCTTCAGACATTTATGAGTCATGTTACTAAATGTATATTGGCGGACTGGAAGGCCTCATGTGCCCCTTAGATTTTATGCTATGAGTTTTTTTGCCTTTCATTGTAGGACAGCTTGCCCATCCTATTACATCTTTGATGTATTATTTTCAAATCAACAAAATAGTACTCTTTCCTATCAAAAAAATAAGTCATGTTACTTAAGAGGCTCACATCAATACTTATTTATGCACAGGCATCTACAGACCAAAGCGTACTCGACTTGGAGATGGCAAACAAATTAGGTTGGTGTGCTTTCTCAATAATTCAGCTTCTGGGGACCATTGCCGTCATGTCCCAGGTAGCATGGGAAGTATTCATCATCTTCATTCCTGTAACGGCCATCTGCATATGGTACCAAGTAAGACATTCCTTATACCTTTAGTCTATAACATCCATATCAAGACTTTTTTTTTTTTTTTTAACCCATGAGTATCATGTCTCAAAACACCCATATTGAGACATGATACTCGTGGGATCGATTTTCCATTCAAAATATTTTAATTCTGAAGTTCGTCATGTATTGATGAAGTTTCTAGAAAAGCGCACACTGATTGCATTTCTATCAAAGAAAATAAAGACTGACATAAATCCTGCCAATGACAAGAGTTGATTCCATTCACACATGGCTTTCATCTTCAAGTAAACCCACAATAATTGTTATGTTGTGAATATTGACGTAGAATTTGTTTATGATGGTTTTAGCAATATTACATACCAACAGCAAGAGAACTAGCCCGCTTATCAGGGATACAAAGAGCTCCGATCCTCCATCACTTTGCAGAATCACTTACAGGAGCTGCTACAATTCGTGCTTTTGACCAAAAGGACCGCTTCATTGACGCAAACCTCCTGCTCATTGACAATCACTCTAGGCCATGGTTTCATAATGTGTCAGCAATGGAATGGCTTTCTTTCAGACTGAACCAGTTAGCAAATTTTGTTTTCGCCTTCTCCCTCGTTGTACTTGTGACCCTCCCTGAAGGAATTATTAATCCAAGTGAGCATCAGAAACTATTTAATACAACTTTCCTTTTCTTTATTTCTTTTGCCTGAGTTGCAAGGTAGTAGACACAATTGATCAGATGGACCCAAAATGTGAAACCCACAAGATTTCTTTTGCTTCCCTTAAACACAATCAGGAACCTGGGAAGGATGACCAAAAGAGTGGATACCAATCCAGTGCACATCATTGCGGGCTGCCCGACACTATTTGATTAATTTTCTATTCTCACATGAGATATAGAACTAGCTTACATTCTTAAATACTAGTCAATGCACTGACACCTTACCTGGATTTGGATACTTCTACAGGCCTTGCAGGGTTGGCAGTAACATATGGAATTAATTTGAATGTGTTGCAAGCTTCAGTTATATGGAACATATGCAACACAGAAAATAAAATGATATCAGTTGAGAGAATTCTACAGTATTCAAATATTTCGAGTGAAGCACCTCTGGTGATTGAAGATTGCAGACCACCGAACAACTGGCCAGATAATGGAACAATTTGCTTCACAAACTTAAAGGTGAGCCTCTAGAGCAAGTTTTGCTATATCAGAACAAGTTCAGATATATCTATATCAAAAAATTTCCCTCATAATTCGACATTTCTTATGAGTACAAGTCTAAGGGATTCTGCCAAGCTCAATGGAAAAAAAGGAGCATATTCTTCCTCAAATTTGTTTTTTCACATTTCCTCATACACATATGTGCCTGTGGTTGCAGATTCGTTATGCCGAACATCTACCATCTGTCTTGAAAAACATTTCCTGCACCTTTCCAGGTCGGAAGAAAGTTGGTGTAGTCGGAAGGACAGGGAGCGGTAAATCAACCCTCATCCAGGCCATCTTTCGGGTTGTGGAACCTAGAGAAGGAAGCATCATAATTGACGATGTAAATATTTCCAAGATAGGCATTCATGATTTGAGATCCAGGCTAAGCATTATTCCACAGGACCCAACAATGTTTGAGGGAACAGTTCGAGGGAACCTCGACCCACTAGAGCAACATTCTGATGCTGAAATATGGGAGGTAAACTGTTGCATCCTGTCCATAGCGCAAAAATAATTATGATTATTGGATCAAATCTCCTCCAAAACTTTGTGTCCTTGTTCTGAATACAAGTGAATGCAGAATAAGTATTACGTTTTTGTCTGGAAACAAAAATGAACAGAACCAAATCAGTGCAGTGATGAATAATATGAGGCTGAATTTCTGGCATTTGACTGTAAACTAAGGCCAAAAGGTGGACATGTAGGCAGCGTTGGTTAGGTGGAAAAAATATAATACTTGTCCCACAAGAAGTAGAAAAATGATCCTGTATATAGCCTAGAATCAGTTTCACTTATGAAGTTATAAGAGAGGCTCGCGCTGGGGGGGGGGGGGGTTCGAAGTGAATTGATTAATAATGGAGAAAATTCATGTTTTTGTTGATTCAGGCTCTGGACAAATGTCAACTAGGTGAACTAGTGCGTACAAAGGAAGAAAAGCTGGAATCTACAGGTCAGATTCGCCTATTTTTTACTTTTGTGGTTTTAGTGCTAGTCTTTGCTGATGAGAGGAACTAATATCTATGGCTCGGACAGTGGTAGAAAGTGGAGAAAACTGGAGCGTTGGTCAACGGCAGTTATTCTGTCTGGGAAGGGCCTTGCTAAAGAAAAGCAGCATTCTTGTGCTAGATGAAGCAACAGCATCAGTTGATTCTGCAACTGATGGAGTGATACAGAAGGTCATTAGTCAGGAGTTTAAAGACCGAACTGTTGTCACAATTGCACACAGGATCCATACGGTTATAGATAGTGATCTTGTCTTGGTCCTTAGTGATGGTAAGCATCATCATATAACACACACACACACACAAATTTTTCTTATTAAAAACAGAAAGACACAACAATAGGATGCACATATATATCATTGAGCTGATTATTTTGCTTTTTGGGGATGATAAAAACAAATCATTTTTCTGTGAACAGGAAGGATAGCAGAGTATGATACACCAGCAAAGCTACTGGAGAGAGAGGATTCTTTCTTCTCAAAACTGATAAAGGAGTACTCCATGAGGTCACAAAATTTCAACAGCTTAGCGAAGTTACAACATTGAATCCGGATCTCCAGAATAGAGAAGTCATAAGTGAATGGTTCAAAGAGAGACCAATAGTCAAGGGTAGTAAAGTGCCTACTTAAGCCAAAAAAAATTGGATCATCTCTCAGCCATGACACAGATGAAAGATCCACTGCCTTAAAATGTAAGGAATTTCTTGGTAGCAGTAACGTTTGGTATTGGACACTTCAAGCAGGAAATCATTTGTCATTATGATTCAAAGGGTATCATTTCGTGACAAAATCAAAATAAAGAAAGACAGTCTTTCCAAAGCTCTCGTAGAATTGTATGAGGTCTAGGAACATACTTTTAGAAAAAATAGCAATACACCACGTGTGTTGTATGTGAATAAATTTAAGTAGTAAAAATTATTATTAAATTTATTAAAAAAATATAAATATATATAATTAAGTTAACTATAACCTCATCTTACAATGTATATTTATATCATCAATATCATGTTGCATAATTTACAAATATCAAACATGGTAAATATATGGAAAAAAAATTAAAAGGGTCACTCTTATGAATATCAAACATTAGTTAAGGGTAAGTTTTGGACAATTGAAATGCACCCAGAGATTTTATGCAATCTATATAGCAATGATGCTCCCTACGACTTGATTTTATATTTCTAGTGCAAAGCTTGTTGAGATTATGACATTACACTCTTAAAAGGTAAATTAATAGTTTCTGTAAATTGATCTAGGTAACCGCTAAAGTGATTAGCAGAGAAAGAACATAATACCAATAAGCTCACAAAGCTTTTGGTCATTAACATTGTCAGGCTCATGTGCAAATCCACTTATGGAGAGGGGGATAAATTAATTTTTTAAAAAATGATTTAAGAGAGTAAAAATTATTGTGCAAAACCCTATTCGTGTGCGTGCTAAAACCCTATGCACACCTTATTACGAAACAAGCTTACATTGTCCTGGGATGATACGATTATCGAATAAATGCAGACATATGTATGTGTGTATATTTGTGTAAGTGTGTGTGTTTGAATTGTGGGCAACAAACTACAAACATAAACGCAGCCACACAGACGCACACACATATGAACAGATTTTGGTAGTCCACCTTTTGATGCTATGCTTAAATTTGATTCTATGCTCAAATGTCAGCCAAGGAAAAAAATCAAATTTGAAGAATAATAATTTCCTTTTAAAGTATAAGTTGCAATACATATATAAGAATTTCATCATCTTTTAAAGCGCTTGAAGATGGGTGTTTCTTGCTTCAACATCAACCAGTTCTATATGAGGCAATTTATGATTAATTACATGCTAAAATCAGAATGTGGGTATTTTTAAAGAGAAGAAAGCTCTAGGATCACTCTTATGAATGATGGTAAGCATTTTACTTCGTTTTCTCCATTCAAAATCCCAAGAACCAAATAGATTTACATGTATACAACAAGGGGCCGTTTGTTTAGAGTATAAGATTTAGGTGGTATAAGATTTTATATCTATTTCACTCCGATCCAATGATATATTATATCCGGTCTTAAATTATAATTTCATCTTTCCCCTTGTGTATTTTTCACAAACATTATCTGTGTAATACCTACTTAAAAAAGTCAATAATTGCGACTATGAACCGTAAAAAGACAATTGTAACCTTGTAACATTAAAAAGACAATTGTACATAAGGGCAGTTGGGTCTTTTTATTATATTATATATCCATCTTATTTGTACCGGATAGGTGGTATTCATTAAGACCATCTACAAGGCATTATGATTATTGTTCATTGCGGATCGATATTACGATCCGAAAAATAGTACTAACTATAAAATACTAAACAAATAAAATATAAGATGAATCTCATGTACTTTTTCTTTAATACCATCTCCTTATACCACTCTAATTCTTGAAACAAATGACCCCGAGAGGATTGTGGAGAGATCATGAAACACCCACCTTATTACCATTCCGTACGCCCTGATATAAGCACCGTTGCGCGAGAGAGAGGGCATGCAGAACCAAGTTTCAACTTTGTAGTAGTGTTCGAAAAGACTTGTATTTTTTACTTTGATAGCCAAGGCACAAGATGCTTAAAAGGAGAATAATTTTTTTCACTGTACTAAGGTGCCTTTGATTGAGTACCTGACAACCAATTCATTGAACAATTGAATTTATAAAATAGGGCGGCTCCAATAAGTTGATCATACGGTCTTAAATTTATTTATTTAACGGTCAAAAATATAATTTTTTGACTTAATATTCTCCCCCAATAAGTCAACGATTACGACTGATCTTGGAACATATTTTACGGTTTCAAATTCATTCATCAAACGGTCAAAAAATTAACATTTTTTCCTTAATATTTTCCCTTCCATCCGGTCAACGATTACGACAAATATTGGAATTCAAGATTTTCTCCAACATAATAATTAAATGGGCCAAATTTGCCATTAATATCATCTATGTAGTGTAATATTTTAAATTTGTATAAGACACAATGATAACATTTTGATTAAAAAAACTCATCAATTTATTTAAGATAAAACAAAAACAAAGTCATTGCTTAACACATTTATATTGAATATAATTAATTTTAATTTTATTTATTTAATTAATTATCTCAAACTAACATATCTTATACATATTTTGAATTAAAAATTCAAGACTAATTTTTTTTATATCTTAAGGAAATCCAATGCTAATATAATCTTTTAAATTAATAATTTTGTAATAGCTTGTACTAATTAAAAATAATATTTTATAAATGATATTTATAAATCTTTTTTTGATAGAAAATATTTTGGCGATGTTTTTTGATAAATTAAATTTTTAGTTTGTATTAAATTTAACTCGATTTTGATTATATGTAAATTAACATTTTTTTTAAAGTTAATTTTATCATATTTCGTGGTTTTATCTATAATATTCATAATACAAAATAGGGCGACTTCAATAGGCCTATCCTACGGTCTAAAATTCATTCATCCAATGACCATCAACATTTTCCTCAAAATCATTCATATTGAATTTTGTCCTTTACTTCTTAGTCTTCACTCTCTCTCCCTCTAGTAGTGGCAAAGATGGAGGGGTTTGGGGTTACTCTGAAAAAATATATATTTTTTTAGTTATATTATTTATATATATATTTTTTGGATTAATTAGGCCCACTACAATGATTTATGAAAAACAAAATTAATTAGGTTAAACAAGTTAGATACTAGAACAAAAAAACAAAAACAAAAAGTTCATACCAATCTTTTATAATTAGTAAACTAAATTGATTATTTAGAGTATTGATATGGTATGTTGAAACCTTATTTGGTTAAAAAATTATGGAATACATAATCAAATGAGTAAAATATGGAATTTGTAATTAAAAAAAAATATAGAATATTGCTTTTATTTGTGTCAAATCTATATCTATAATCTATAATATAAAACATGACGGCTTTTACATGTTCATCCTACGGTTTCAAATTCATTCATCTAACGGTCAAGAAATTACCATTTTTTCCTTAATATTTTTCCTCTCAACCGGTCAACGATTACAGCTGATCTTGGAACACATCTTATAGTCTCAAATTTATTCATCCAACGATCAAGAAATTAACATTTTTTTCTTAATATTTTTCCTCCCAACCAGTCAAAGATTACGGCTGATTTGGATTACAAGATTTTCTCTAACATAATAATTAAATGGTTCAAATTTGTCATTAATATCAATTGTGTAGTATAAAATTTTAAATTTGTATAAGAGACAATGATAATATTTTGATTAAAAAAACTCATCAATTTAACAGATTAAAAAAAACAAGGACGTTGTTTAACACATTTATATTAAATATAATTAATTTTAATTTTTTTTATTTAATTAATTATCTCAAACTAACATGCCTTACACATGTCTTGAATCAAAAGTTCAAAACTATTTTTTTTATCTTTTAAGAAAATTCAACGCTAATATATTCTTATAAATTAATAATTTTCTAATAACTTGCACTAATTAAAAAAATAATATTTGTAGATATTTTTTTGATAGAAAATATTTTGGTGATATGTCTTTTGATAAATTAGATTTTTAGTTTGTATTAAATTTGACTCGATTTTGATTAAATGTATATAAATTAATATCCGATTTTGATTACATGTATATAAATTAATGTTTTTTAAAGTCAATTCTATTATATTTTGTGGATTCTATAATATATAACAAGGCGGGTTCAACAAGCCCATCTGACAATTTCAAATAAACTCATCCAACGGCCACCAACATCTCTCTCAATACCATTCATATTAAATTTTACTTTCCTCTTCTCACTCTTCATTCTCTTTCTCTGGCAGTGGCGGAGGGAGGAGAAGCCTAGGGCCACCCTAAAAAAATAATTTTTTAATTATATATGTTTTATATATATTTTTTAGATTAGTTGGGCCCACTGTAATAATTTATGAAAAACAAAATTAATTGGATCAAACAAGTTGAGTATTAGAACAAAAAAATAAAAACAAAAAGTCCATACCAAATCTCTTAAAATTAGCAAACTAAAATTGATTCCTTAGAGTATTGGTATGATTTGTTGAAGTCTTCTTTGGTTCAAAAATTATAGATTATATAACCAAAAATGAGTGAAATATAGAATCTATAAAAAAATTAAAAATTATAGAATATTGTTTTTATTTGTATCAAATAAATTATATTATTGATCCTTAATGTATAGATGTAATCTTATTAATTTTTTTCAAATAGACATTTTTTATGTTTAATGAATTTTTAAGTATCAAATTTAATATAAAAAATATAAATATATCACACTATTTTTATCTAATATACTTAAAGTGTGTCCACCATAAATTATATATTTGGCTTTGCTCCTGCTCTTAGGGATCTTCACTCCTCATTTTTTTAAATTAATTGATTGATTTATATTGTACTTTCTCTCTACTTTTATAAGAGATGATATCGCATTCTGAAGTCCCATCAAGTTGTAATACATTACATCATGGGGGGCCACGTCCTTGTCCCGCCTCGACTACTCGGTCCTGGGGTTGCATTCTTTTGTTTGGTTCAAAAAGGCATGTTCCCTCTGAATCTCTCCCTTCGGGACCGATCACGTCGTTGGTGTATTACTATTCATGTCCACGGATCATATCCTGATAGGAATATCGTTTTTGTGTCCTGTCATTGACTGATAAATGGTAGGTTCAAATTAATTAGCTAAGAAGTTATGAAATTAACAATTTAAAATAGTTTGTATATTGTTACATACAAACTAACATAATGTACAACAAGTGTACTCAATGCACTCACAATGACGCAAATCTACACGAACAATCAAATTTGAAAACAAAAAAAATACAATTCAAATCTTGTGTAAGCACAATTTTTTAAAGACAGATTTACTCCCTCTCGATGTTCAAAGTTGATAAACAACTGCCTCCCAAGATGGAACAGATTTTGTCTTTGCAAAAGTCGCACTTCAATGTTCAAAGACCATCGAACACAACTTATGTTTGTATTTGAATTGAACAATAAAAGGAATGCAAAAAGGGAGAGAGTTAATACACAAATATGTAGAAATTTAGTCTGTTAAATTCATAAATGATGGTAGTCTATTTATAGACTCCTTATGTTCATTTGGATCACCTAAAAGGATGCACCTTGTGCTTGTTCGGATCGAAGAAATAGACTCTTTGATATGAAGAGCAGTAAAATGGAAAGACACTTCAGGAGTGAATAGACGGGAACGGTGCCAATTTGAATTCTAATAGATAGAAAAGTTTTAAATTTTAGTTGGAAGCAGTGTTATCATAATCGGATCGGACTGGTCGAGCCGTGAACCGGGATCTAAAACGATCTAGTTCTTTATCAACCAATTTGTCAATAAAATTGAAAAATTGGCCAGTTTTTGCCAAAATCGGTGAACCGAAAATCCCTAAAACCGCCCGGTTCAAAACAATATCAACCAATTTGTCTTCGTCTTCGTCTTCTCCGGCTGCTTCAAAAAGATTTCAGCCCTTTCGTCTTCGTCTCCAATGTTTTTAGATCTAACTCGAACAGTGGCCACACCACAGATCTCGACCTCCTTCTCAGCCATTGATCTCCTCCTAAGCTTTGTTAGTCTTCTTATCCTCTTCCCCAATCTCTCTCTTTCACGACTTGTCATAGATGGCGCATCTGAGTTCTACCTCTTCAGTCTTCAGTCATCCCTTTTATTTTATTTTCCTGATCTACAACCCAACAGCAGCCTGGTTCCACACTCTCTCTCTCTCTCTCTCTCCCTCCCTCCACGTGCACACACACACACGATCAACCTATACAGACTCAACAACCAAAAAACTCCATACACTATACATTACACACAATAATTTTTATTATGATTGTGAATTTTTAACTAAATTATTGTGTTGTATAATTTTTTTACTTTTTTTATTTGCAACTGGTTCGACTAATTGATCCAACCGTTGAACCACTGAACCATTAATTCGATTTTTTTGTCGGTTCGATGTTCAGTCCGATTCTGATAAAACTGGTTGGAAGGCTAAGATCAATCCGTGGTCTGGATCAACCCATAACCCGCACCGTACCAAACGAATTTTGTCCAAAATATTATATCTTTTTGACCTAAGAACCAAGTCGACCGGGTCATGGTAAATGGGTGACATGCATGTGGTAATCCAAGATTGTGTAGGTGCTCGTCCGCTCGCAAAATTGCAGTGTTCCAAGTAGGGATGTCAATGGACCGGAAAAAAATGGGTATTTGTTCAAATCCGCTCTGTTTGGACCGGAGATGAACTATATGTATTGCATGATAGACGTATACGGGGATACCCGTATAAACCCGTGTGGGGATGAAGACGGGGATGAACTTATCCTTATCCCCGCCCCGTTACCCATTATATATATATATATATACTCTCTCTGTAAGTCTCAAATGCTTTTTTCTTCTTATTCATCTGTCTCTCTTCTTAATCTATTCTCTGTGTAAATCTCCATGTATCATGTAATCTACACATGACAAAACTGTTTAAAACCCTTACGTTTTTAAAATACAATTATTGTAGTTATGTATGTGATTTTTCTAGTATTTTTTGGTTTAGCCTTATTGAGTGTCTCGGATGACGATATTGTTTGATCGACTTTTTTTCTTTTGGTTAGAACTATTTTCCATGGAATTTTCTCTCAATTGCTGTTAATTCTACCCTATGACCCTTTAGGAATATTATGCAGCAATTCTAAGGTAATTGATAATATTTTTTTTTATCTTTTAATTCAACGTTTAATCCTAACTTATATTTGTTTGAACTTGGGCTTGTGCTTGAGCGGGTACGGGGGGAAGCGGGGACGGGGGCGGCGAATAGAAATTTACCCGCAGACGGAGATGGAGATAAAAATTATACCCGTTTACGGGAGTGGACCGGGAATGAATGAAAGTTTTTTAAGCGGGCACGGAGATGGAGACTATACCTTCTGCCCCCGCTTTGGTCCACTGACATTCTTAGTTCCAGGGGCTCAAACCCAAATGTCAAACTAGGAGTATATCAACAACCAAGTTTTTGACATTCTTCCATTGCGAAATAATCATTCCACACTACACCAATCTTAGCTTATTCCATCAATTCAAGTGGGTCACTTTGAAACATAATTACTTATTCAAATCTTAATGATTTTGGACAAATAAATATATCACATTAATCTCCTCGCGAATAACAATGCGTTTAAACTTAGTCCCACAAATTTCAAGAATTGGGTCCCACTTTAATACAAGCTCAAAGTTTCTTAATTACACTTTGTCAAAACCATTTTTTCCAACAATTTTTAGGACAATTAAATAATACTTTTGATAATTTAATCCAAGTTAGTTTGAGTCTATATCAATCATATACTTTGTTCTAGTTTTTCTCCTTTTTCATTGCAATATCAATTACATTTGTTTTCATAAAGTTTTAACTAACAGTAGTTAATCTTAAAATGACAGAACTAACTAGAAAGACTGCCACCAAATATATATATGATATTCTATATTCCATTAGACTTAAGACATTATTTAAACCAATTCTTTTTTAGGTCTTCTTTTTTGAATCGCCTTTATAGAGAAACTCATTCAAATCTGATAACAACTACGTTGTCATGTGTCTCCGTAACAAGTAGTTCATTTATTGATGGACGAACGACAGGGATTGAACCCGCGCGTGGTGGATTCACAATCTAGTGCCTTGCTCCACTTGGCTACATTCGTCCCTACTCTCGCACAGGTTTCAATTTTTATTTGCGATCAGACCCAATTTTTATCTACAATTTTTATTTACAATCAGATTTTTTTTTCTATACTATAGTTGCAAGTCTATTGTTGTGTTTTTGAACATCTCATTCATTTCATAAAAAAACACAACTAAACAATAAAGTTTTGCTTAACATCCTAAAGTATCAAGTCATATTATTGACTAGGGGTAACCTGTGCTTGTAGGCACAGTACAATATAAATAGTTTTAGTAGTTGTTAGATGAATATATTTGAGACCGTCAGATAAGTTTATTAAAGTCTGCCCTATTTTATACTATAAATTTGCACAGAAACGTTCATTTTATTTGTTTTTGAATTTCATAATTTCCATATCATGACATTTTTGTAATTAAAACATAAATATAAAATTCAAAATTTTCAAATTAAGTTGAAAAAATAGTACTTCGTTATCCTAAAAGGAATTTAACATTTTTTTTTCTATATAGAGCTCTAATTTGACTCCAACCCTAACGCCATCTTTATTCAGGTTAAATCCTCCTACTTTTCCTCTAATCTTTTTTTTTTTAAAAAGCACGTTTCTAAAATATGATTCCAATGTTGACTAGGCTCTCAAATTTTGCAGCAACAGGTAGGTAAATTAACTTGCAAAACTTATCCAAAATCCAACTAGGTGGAAGCATTCTAGTTTTCAACCAGCCTTACAATGTAATAGTTCGTTATCATGGAGAAAGGAGTGCCCAGATTTTTTGGAATCCTACCTCCATGATGATACGCTAATTTCGTGATTCAACAAAATGCAATCGTTCCATATAAAAATAAAAATAAAAATAAAAATAAAGTTCTCTACTAGCTTTTCTTACAATTGCTAATACTTACCGGGACAAGTGAACATGTATCATGTCGATAGAACATAGATTCAATTTTCATCTTTTTTTATTTGGGTTAATTACACTATAAGTTTCCAAAGTATAAAGTTTATCTCATTTTGGTCTCTAATATTTTAATTGCATTATTTTGGTCCCTAAAGTATTGAATATCTATATAATAAAACATATAGGAAGTTGAATTTTATTCTCTTTACATATTTTCCCCAAAACCATCACATCACTCATTTCTATCACATGTTCAATCATTTAATATTGAGAGAATTATACGTAGGCCCCCTGAAGTTTGTCACTTAATCACTCAGACCCTCTGAAATTTGAAATGTTATACACAGACCTCTTAAAGTTTGTACACGTATAATACTTAAACCCCCTGCTGTAAACATATCCATTAATAAATTACACTTAGACTCCCTTGAAGTTTATAGGTATATAATACTTAAATCTCTTAAGTTTAAAATATTATAGTTAGACCAAAACTATTTCAATCAAAGATAAAATATCAAATATTTTAAATTTTACGATTAAATTTCATATTCTATTTATCTTTTATTGAAATAAAATAAAAAATAAAAATTTAATTTTTCTTAAAAAATCATAATTAATATACAATTATATTGTCTATTCAAATTTAACTTGGTCGTTCAAACGACCAAATTAAAATATCAAACTACCCCAATTAAAACTAAAAGATATTGTGTCGATTACAATTTGACCCCTTATTTAATTTTTTAGTTTTATTCTAATAGATAGTATAATTAAATTTTTATTTTTAACTTTATTTCAATAAATTATAAAATAGAATAAGAATTAATTATAAAATTTAAAATATTTGATATTCTGTCTTTAATTAGAGTATTTTTTATCTAAGTATAATATTTTAAACTTAAAAAATTTAAGTATTATATACCTACAGACTTCAAGGGAGTCTAAGTGTAATTTATTAATGAATATATTTACAGTAGGGGTCTAAGTGATACGAGCGCACAAACTTTAAGGGGTCTGTGTGTAATTTTTCAAATATCAGGGGTCTAAGTGATTAAGTGACAAACCTTAAGGGATCTGGATATAATTCTCCCTTTAATATTTAATTAATTTGTAGTTTAACATTACTTTTATTTTAGATATTATCCATACAAGATAATATACATATATTAAGAAAATTTTATCGAATTATGCATTTTGAGAAAATTGTCAATATTTTTGAGAAATTAATTGGTAAAAATAAATTTTGAATGATATAACCAAAGAAATTAAGAAAATAATTTTTTTTTTTAATATAGCAAAATTGATTTTTTGGGGCTCGAATTTTGTGTTCTATCGTGTAATAAGGCACGGATTATTACTAGTGTTTGTATATGGTCCTTCAACCAGACAGTGTTCAAATTACTAACGATTTTTTTATCATAAACTTGTCACATAATACTTAAATATAAAAAAATAATAATAATTTGAATAACTCTTTACTATATTTCTACTCAAATTTTGGTTAAATAGCTGCTTAAATTACACAATTTTGATCATGAGCTATCTAAATTTTGGTAAAAAAAACTATCCATATTACACATTTTTTTGTCAAGAGTATCTAAATTTTTTTTAAAAGTTATCAAAATTATTGTTTATTTATATTTAAGTATTACTTGACAACTAGATGATAAAAAATCGTTAGCAATCTAAATGGTGTCTGTTTAAAAAACTATATAGAAATATATTCAATATTTTAAAGATCAAAATGAGACAAATCTGATACTTTGAGGACTTCTAGTACAATTAATTCCTTTAATTTTACTTCTTAAAGGGTAAAAACTTAAACATTGGATCTCATTTAAATTCATGACAGATAAATTAATAAAAAATATATATTAGAGAAGATCAAAATCCACATACAATAACTCGCCAAGTGATCTTCTCGAGTAAACCTAAATCACAAATGTGCCATTAATATGAAAACTACTATTTACTACCTACGACACTTTTAAATTTATTTACTAAATTACAGTACTTTTTAAAAACGAATTCAAGAAGCCCAATTTTGATAAAAAAACAGGGGACCAACAAGCCCCATTTTGTTTAGAAAACAGGGTCAACAAACCAACTTTTAAATAAAAAAAACATGATCTAATTACAAAAATATAGTAGGCAAACAGGTGAAAAATGTTTTTCTAACTTTCATCTATAATCACTACAATTAAATATTGTACACACTAATCATTTTTAATCACTGTAATTACCGACCACATTTTTTATTTAAAAGCAGATCTTTGACCCTATTTTTTTTAACAAAAGTGTGCTTGTTTATTGACTCTATTTTTTAAAAAGTACTATAATTTGGTAAATAATTTTAAGAGCCGTAAATTGGTAATAAAGTTTTAAGAAGGCAGTAGAGTGGTAAATAACTCTTACCTGCACCAACCTTTACAGATGATCATATTCCAAAGTGATGATAGAAGCAGCAACTACTCAGCAAAAGCAACAAAACTATAGCAGTGTAAAATTCATGGCTCATCTTCAAGCTAACCTTTCATATATCACAGGAGAATGCCCACAGAGCTTTGAGACAAGTCTCATAAGTATCAACAGTAGTATTATTTAACAACACCGGACTCTGCACAACAAACACAACGCTAAAAGCCCCTCATATAGCTCACTTTACAAACTACATAGCTCCAGTAGTATGCATTCCTACTGGAAAGACAATAAACGAAAATGCTCTTCCAGAAAATCACCTAAACCGATAGATACATTTACTGTAATCCGAATAGCGTAAACTCCCCCCACTCCACCGATACATTTGCCATAGTCATCTAAAGATTTGCACAAACAAAACTCTATCCCACACCACGAGATCAGGTTTGGTGATAGAATTGTGTGAATGAAGGAAATACAAAGCTCTGCAGTTCGGTTGCTATGTGAAAATTTGACATTATAATCATATAAGCTATCCTGCTCTCAACTAGGCAGCCAAATGGCAATAACGGAAGGCAGGATGGGCATGTTAATACTAGGAGTTGATCAATCAATGCCCAAGCTGGAGTAAGGCTCAAAGCCACCCTGACAATCAGCAAAAATCAAGATGAATCCTTTCTCGGCAATAATTGCATGTAGAAATAAGCTAATAGAAAGATGGACCAAACCCAAAAATTTAGATAAAATAGAGCACTAGGCTTCTTACAGAAGAAACTAATGAAGCTAGACTAGCTAAGTGTGTGGAGCCTTGACAACTTCAAAAATCTGTTGAGAAAGGAGTACAACTCTATTTGATTTATTTATATCCTTAGGTAAAAGGTTTCTCATTTAATTATTTTTTCTTTTAACAAAAGAGGCTATCCCATTTTCGACTGATCATCACATCTGACTAAGAAAGAAAATAATGAGGGCAACTGCAAGAAACAATGAACAGATTTAACTGTTTACTTTTCATTAAACCTACTTTACTCGAAAAAACACAACTCACAGAGCAGTCATCATGGACACGCCATATGGTTTCACCCAGGAGATTTGCCACAGACAGGACCGTTAGCTGGGGGAAATAGTTCTTCTCTGACACAGGGATTGTATTTGTAATAATCACCTCCTGAAACAACCCACTTGATAACCTCTCTATTGCAGGAGGACTGCAAAAAGGTAGAAGTAAATTTTTTTAAGTAAGCAATTAACAGGTTTACAACAAAAGAGATCACTTGGATTACGCAAAATCCAACACCTCTACTTGAACGAAGGTTTGTGCAACAGACTAGGTGGTTTCTAAAGGCAAATTTTAGTGTTTTTTTCATAGATCAGGAATAAGATTCATAAAAGTATTAAAGCCTAATTGGCTTACATAAAGGGATCAGGATTGATCAGACAAAGGTCTTGCCCTAAGAGTTTCACTAGAATGTTCAAAAGGAACTCAAGAAATTAACCAGCAACGTTTCACTGGAGAGTGGAAACCATACATATTCACAATCATTGGAGATATTATTTTCATAATTCACTAGTCACAACCTTGTGGAACATAGAAAATGATTAAAAATGTAGCTCCAATTTTTCTGAAATCAAAATGTAAACTGCTTCCACTTCCAGCTTATCAAGATTCTCTGTGAGCTTCACTAACCAAATTATAGAATATCTCATCTCATGAATAGAACACCTGGTGCTAAAGAGAATAAAGATATACCTAAAGACGGCATGTGTGCTGCAAGCATACACTTCTCTGGCTCCCTCTTGATGTAATAAAGCTGCTCCTTTGGCAATAGTACCTATAACCCACTAGCCAATGAGTTCATATGCAACGGAACCAACAAAGACCAAACTGTTGACACTGGCTAAATTCAAAATAAAATATAACAGAATTGTACGGAACGAGCAAACATGTCAATATATTTGCAGCCGAAAAATAATGATGAAGGCAAAACCTCTGAACCAAACTCAACTTTTCCCTGAACCAAGATAATTGCATGTTGGAATATCCACATACAAAAAGACAGGGCAAAGAGCCCAGGAAAAATGACAAAAGACATGCTCATCTGGTTATTTTCAATTTGATTTTTTGTCATGCTCATCTGGTTATTTTCAAATTTGATAGCCGAACTTAACAATGGACAAAGCAAGTCATTTGGAAATATGCAAGCTCAGGCACAATATACAAGTAAATTTTGCATTGTCAATGTTGCCTATAAGAAGGCATCCACCACAAGCCTCTTAGGCGCATGCCTGAACTGGCCACATTTTGCACGGTTATGTATAATTGCATATCACTCACGTCTATATTATGAACAATAAAAAATAAAAAAAGAAAGAAAGAGGGGACAAAATTGAAACAGTTTTTGTCCATTACAGAAACATATTCTTAAGATCTTATCTACGTCATAAATAAGGACTCAGAAAAATGTGCCCATCCCTGCTAAAGATTAAAGACTATAATACCCATACTCAATAAAGTATGAAAATTTCTTTATTATTATTATTATATATGTGTGTGTGTGTGTGTGACAGAATACTGATCAAAGGTGTCGATCACTGTTAATTATTTTGATCAATTAACAAAGGATGAAATGTGGGCCACAAATTTCACATCTTTTGCAAATTGCAACATGTTAGCATTGTTGTCCAATTTAGACATCATATATGCATCATTTACAACTTTGATGAATAATTTGCTAATGAGATAGAAAAAGAATAACAACTTCAAACCCCAATACGAAAAAACTTACCAGCAGTATCAATCATGTCATCCAGCATAACAGCCACTTTTCCCTTAACATCACCAATCAAATTCATCACCTGCAAAAAGACATCTGGCACATGTGAGGGTTGGGAGGGGACATTTGAATAAGGTATTTAAAAAAAAAAAAAAAAAAAATAGCACTACTTCCAGTACATGCAAAAAGACATCACAGCTCAGAGCCTTTGACGATGGTAACTAATATAATAAGCATAGTCAATGAAGGTGGAAATGACCATGTAGCCTTGGCCATATATTTAACACAAGCTCATAAATCACCCAAAAAAGCAAAATAACAGAATGACAATCACAAATCTGTGTTACATGGATAATAAAACAAATAATTTCGGCCATAGGAGCACCTAGATTTCATTTGGAGTCTCATAATATCAAGAACAACATCAAAATTAAATGTAGTTCAAAACAGCCGTCCATTTAACATTCCACGAAGACCCAAGCATCTGATAAGTTATGTATCTTCCAACTATTTAACAATGTCATAGAAAAATAAACTAGTTTACACTTACAATCATCCTAGACACATGAAGCACCAACTTCCACAAAAATTAACCTATAATGTAGGGCGTCTTCTAAATCAGCATCATCGTGTCAAGCTAGGACTAGATTGAGGAAACATATCCATAATGATTTGACAGGGTTCTAGACTATGAACTAAGGGCTAAATTTGCAACTTATATTTCTAAGGAGCTGTTTTGGAAACCAGAAAATCGGTGGCTAGTAGAAATCTGGAGGATTTTATGTTTTCCTGTGCTTTAATCAGGCCATTAATTTCCCGAAATTGGTTGAGGATCTTGAGCTCTGCATCAGAATTTTTTCGAGGAAAAGATTTCTTCAAACAATTTCAGTGCTGATTTCTACATAAATAATAAAATGCAGCGACATTTAGCCCGATCATTTATTAGGATTCAAACCAGCCCCAAAAAAATATTATGAGAACTTGAAAGTTGAGAAAAGAATGAAGGAATGAGAAAAAGAGGGAAGAAGGCTTCACCAATCACCTTGGCTTTTTAGATAATCAGAACTCATAGGAAAGCATTACAAATCACTTAAAAAGGTGGTGTGTGTTAATTTCTCTCAAGCTCTCCAATACATTACATACAAATACAAGTCACAAACCTTGTTAGCTTCATTTGACTAATAAACTGCCTTGAATGATAAATATACCCCCAAATCAAAACCACCATGAACACTTTTATGTTAAGGAAAGTGAAGTTTAACAGCAATATTCAAATATGTTGTCTCTTGGAAGCTAATTTTAAGTCAGAAATGTTTCTTTTCGCTCAAGTTATATAGTACACATCAACAAAACATTACTACCATCAACAGAACAGATACAAAGAGCTGTACCAGCCCCTTCAAATGGATTGCGAGGGTGATTATGAGGCTAGGTCATATGTATCCAAAGTTCTCGTAGTTATGAAACAGTCCACAATTTTATACCAAATATATGAGGACAATCCAAAGAAACAGTATATTTTAATCCTTCCTAGCCATGGATTAGTTTTAAATATATGATATGCCTCTTGGGTCAACACTAGATTAGGGAAAATAAAGGTGGAGGACATAATGGGAAAAAGTCATATCATAAAGAGTAAATAATGTAACATAAAACAATTAAAAACAAACTTATACGTAGCTTCAAAACATGATTAGAAACAGAAACCAGAACTCTTCCACTAAAACTGTGCCAAACAATTATGAAACATGACGAGCAACTAGGCAATGGAACCAAATGCTTCAGAAGACCTTACCTCTGCAACATTGTGTCCATGTCTCCTTTTATCCACAATGGCTAGAGGTGCATCAGACAACTTCTTGGCAAAAGCTCGTGCTCTAGCAACCCCTCCAACATCTGGTGACACTACTACCAAATCATCAGAGCAGATGGTCTTGCTGGCAAGGTAATCAAGTATGACAGGCTAGTTGTGCAAAAACAATCAAAGGAAAAATTAATGAACCAAACCATATTCACATAAATTAATGGTAGAAGGTTAATAATGAATCCAGTTACAACTGAGTATAAGAAACATCAATTGTGCTTCCATAGCAATGCCAAACTAATTTCATTTCAAATTCTTTCAGGTGTTCATAGCAGACCACATATCCATGGCAAATGCCATGATAGTGTTTGAGATTATCATAGGACCAATCCTCGGAAGATCTTATTACCTGACCATGTACATGATCCACTGGAATATCAAAATAGCCCATGGACTGCCCAGAATGAAGATCACAAGCAAGAACACGATCTGCACCTGCTTCAGTAATCAAATTTGCTACAAGTTTGGCCGCAATTGATTCACGCCCTTGTGTCTGAAACAACGGTAGATAGAGGTAATGAATGTAATCAAACTCATTTTGTAGAGTAAGAAGGATATAACTGTAAGGTGTGGTGTCAACATAACTAGATTTTGCAGCAAATGGCAATTGAAAAACAGACACAATGCCCAAACTACCATAAAAATAAAAGGTCAGCACCCAGGTCAAGAAAAATAGGAGTTATCTATAAGGCATGACTTATTTTTGAGGAATGCATTTTATTGCCCCAACTTTTGTCCTATTCAATTTGTAGTTATACTAAAAAGAAGCTTCTCTAATCCTTATTATAATACATGCATAAGCTTCAATCACCAAACAGATTTACCCAATGTGGGTTTGTCACACTCCACTTATGACACAGTTACCTTTCGATCAGCCCTTGCATATCCAAAATACGGAATAACTGCAGTAATATTTTTGGCCGATGCCCTCCGACATGCATCAATCATTATCAAAAGCTCCATAAGATTTTCATTTGCAGGAGGACAGGTAGGTTGCACAAGATATACATCACAACCTCTGACACTCTCTTGCAATTGAACGTAAATTTCGCCGTCAGAAAAACGCTTTATCTTGATCTGTCCAAGCTCCAGACCCATGTAGCAGGCAATTTCCTATCCAATAATACGATTCATTAGCAAACATTTCATAACTGATTTACTAAATGAAAATTCAAGGTAATAATAGAATAGTGAAATAAAACTTAAAAACCTAAAAAAAAAAATTAAGATATGAAAAATGGAAGAACATTAATAAAAAAATGCACAGTACTGAAATTGGATGTCACATTGTACTTTACAAATTGAAGGATTAGAGTGAAAGAAAGCAATGACATTCCAGACTTAGAAATCAATGAGCAACCTATCATCATTAACATATTGAGAAAAATGAAAAATTTTATTTCCTAACCCCCCCCCAAAAAAAAATAAAATATATATATAGAGAGAGAGAGAGGATGTACTGCCATTTAAGCATCTCTGATTAGTTTGCATGACATTTCAGTGAACCAATCTCTTCCCATCAACTCCCACTGGTTGAATTTAAGCACGTTCTGGCTTTCCTTGCTGCACCATTTATGTTAACGCCCCAAAGATTTTCAATCCGAAACTACTACTGATAGGTCATGCGTTGCATTATCATTTGACCAGACAACATTTGTCAGTAGATCATGTTTTTCTTTTGAAGTTCTTTTTTAAGGTTCAGATTCCAGACAAAGACAACCAAGATCCATCAGGAAAGGGCAAACCTTTTCAAAAATAAAGTCCTCGAGTGTAATACAACCAATACTCTTAAATGAATATAGAAATAGAATACTTAGTTGTTTAAGACCATCTCTAACATCCAGCCTTGTCACAAATTTGAGGCAATTTTTGAGTAAAAAGCTTGATTTGATACAAAATACTTCAATGCAAAACTCAAATTTAAAAGAGGATCATCTCAAATATATTTGAGTAAAAAATTTGAGTTTCCCTTCATTTAGTATGAGTTTGAATAAAGGAATGAAACTTGTTTTTACCTTATTTTTATTCAAATTTAAATTTGGGTCAAGATTTGAATAGCATCCGGCATCTATAATTGTCAATACCAGATAATAAACACCATTCCAAAATCAAAAAAGAGTATTGATTTGGCTAATATGGGGATCGTCTATAAATCTGCCAGCAGAGTGTCTTATTTTTCGGTTGTATCATATGTTCAATGCACTCGTGTCAATGCCTAAGAACCATAGCTGTCAAAGGACCTAGGTATACTTACCTCCTCTCTCTCATTCACAATTTCTTCTTGAGTCTAGTGGATTTCAGATTCTCACTGTTGGTCACCCTTTCATTGTTCAGCCACTAATCCCCAGCATCCCCACCAATCATCCACCCCTACAAACGAAAATAAACACAGACCCCTAGCACCACCAAAATTGCCACTGCTCCTTTTTCTTTTGCACGATGAATTATTCCAAAATTAGCAGAGAAGTACCTACCCTCTAGCATTGTCATCGCTTAGATTAGTCAACTAAGCACATTAAAATATAACGCCTTCTAATAATATATTCAAAACCAGATAGATGCAAGTGGTCATACAATCCATATGTGGTTTTTCTATTGTCCATTCTCTGTCAAGAAAACAGCCATTCTGTTGTTTTTTATATATTTATTTTATGCAATATTAAAGAGAGGTAGTTGGTCAATTGGAGGTTATGTAGTAGTGGCTTAGTGGTTTGCATAGTTAATAGTATCGTACGATATGTCATGATACACCTGAAAAACGATACGTATCGTGTTTTTGTATTGTTTTTGTACCGTATCGTACGATACACGATACGATACGCCCAAGGATCAAAATGTCGTGTCGACACGTCCGAAACGTTTCGGAATTTCAACACTCCGAAACGAAACAGTAGTTGAATCACAAAATTCCAGTGTTTCGGTCGAAACGGTACTGTTTCGGACCGTTTCGGTCGAAACGGCATTGTTTCGAACCGTTTCAACAAAACAGTGATATATTCGGTTCATTATGAATAATTACATTTAATACCCATTATAATTACATTTAATACCCACTGTAATTACATTTAATACTCACTATAATTATATTTAATATCCCACTATAATTACATTTAATTCCCACTGCTCTTCTGTCTTTTATAATTTTTTTGTTATAAGAATAAATAATTACACTTAATACCCTACTATAATTATATTTAATACCCATTATAATTATATTTAATACATACTGTAATTATATTTAATACCTCACTGTTGTGCAAGTTTTTTGCTTTTTTTTTTGTTATAAGTATTAACAATTACATTTAATACCCTAATGTAATTATATTTAATACCTACTGTAATTACATTTAATACCCACTGCAATTACATTTAATTTTTAAGTATACATAAGTATCATTAATTTAATTTGATACCCTTCATTATTAGTATTATAATAAAATAGTATTATTAATTGGATTATATTACCGTAATAATATGATTTGGAGTAACTATTGTCATCATATTTATGTCACATATGGAGTTTCTCTAAGTAGCTACCCAGAGCCTACACCGATGTATGAGCCTGCTCGACACTCCACAGGAGAATGGATGTAATCATGTAAGTATGTACTCATTAGCATTTCATGTGTATTATAAGACGTTAATATTATGTAAAAATGTGTTTATTTCATAAAAATTAAGTGTTTGAAACTAATTTAAGTGACTTTCGCCTCAAGTCAAGCCTTTTTTTCCCTCAAATTTAAATTTATTCTTGTATAAATTGATGTTAACCTAATAAATATGTTGAATTAATAAATTATTTAGCATATCTTTATAAATTAATGGATTGCATTTGTGTTTCTATGCGTTTCCATATTTTTTCTGCGTTTCCATTGCGTTTCCGAAATGTTTCCGAAACGTTTCTATTTTTGAGTTGACCGAAACGGTACTTCGAAACGAAATTTTGATCCTTGGATACGCCCGATACATGACGATTCTTTATTTTTATTTTTTTATTTTTTGGGGTTGAAATGACATCGTATTACCCTAGGACTTATTTTTAAATCACTAGCTAGTGAAACAACGTCGTTTCAGTGGTTATAGTTTAAAAAAAATAAATAACGTCTAATGTTAATGTTGTTCAATTGAATTCAAAATTCCCGATTAATATCAAAATTGTTCAAACAGTTGATATTAGAAGTTTGAATTAGAGGTTTTTGCATTTTGATATTACTGAACTATGTTAAAAACTTGAATAATTGGTAAAATATTAATGAAATATTATATTATTATGAGTCTATGACTTTTTTATAAAGATATATACATATATTTTATTAATAATTATTTAAAAATTAAAATTGAGCGTATCTTACGATACACTATTTTTAAAAAACAATACGCCTTCCGATACACGATTTGACAACAATGGTGGTTTGGTATTTACGGGATTTTTTAGGTGGTTAGTTAGATAATGGAAAAATGGGTTAGGTTATTTATAAGGATAGTTTTTATCATTTTGAATTTGAAGGCCCATCAATCAATGAAAATGGTATGTTGAATTTCTTTGTGAAGGTTTTGGAAGTCCGATTCCCCTCAAAGTGAACTAATGAAGGTTTTTACCCCTCTCAAAGTGAGTTTTCTATCCCTCATTCTATTTTCTTTTGTTTTCTAAATCCTTCAAAAATGTGCACATATCACTTTCTTGTTGCTTTTCGGCTTTTGTTTCAATTAATATCCATATTCCTTTTTCTTTTTGTATTTATTAATTCCTTGAAGGAACAAGCCAAGACAGAACTAAAATATCAAGGCAAAAAGAATGTGCACATAGCGTGCATAAGTGTATTCAATTGCAAGACAAGAATATCCTCAAAAAAAACCACCTGAGAAAGTGCAGGGTTAGCTGTGCCTGAAAATATCCGAAGCCGGGTATCATTCTGTTGAATTACATATCTTTCTGTTTGATTCAAAGCTAAGAAACTTGGGAATGTCGCCTGTTCAGCACTAACTGTTGGTATGTGTCCATTTTCCTTAAACTTCAATGGCTCCGCAACATTACATCTCTACAACACAACAGTCCATTACCCCGTATCAATAAAGCTAACAGATTTACAAGCCAATAACCTTAAAAAAAAACACCATTATTCGTGTCCGCGAATGTGTGATTTAAACTACTTGCCCCAAAAAGTAATTAAGCACGAGACTGAAACGTAACGTTTAAACACCATTATCTGTCCATAAACACATACATATGCAAACAAATATGCACATTTTCATTCGATTTTCAGTCATCCAACGAGACATGTATACACATTGAGAATAGAGAGAGAGTACTTACAACGACGCTTTTTCGAGCAGGGATTCCAGAACGAAACTTCTTTGTTGAGACAAGAATTCCAGTTCCCGAGAGAACAAGGGACGCCATTAGTCCTGAGTGTGGAATGGATCAATTTTTGTGTGTGTGAGAGAGAGAGAGAGGGAGTCGGTGGGGTTTAGGGTTTCAAATATCTTATTTTTCTCTCACCGCCATTCTTGATTTTGTGATGTTACTGAGAATTAGAATCCGAAAACCCTGCCTTTTTTTTTTTTCCAGTTCAAAAAAAAAAAGTAAATAAATTAAAATTCTAATTTAGTTCTTACGTGTGGGAATGTCAATCGTATCGTATCATGTCGTGTCTTATCATTTTTGTGTCTTGTCATTTTCGATCGTATTATTTTCGTATTGTATTACTTTCATTAAGTGTTGAATTTGTGTCAATATTCATGTTAATAAAAAATTATTTAATTTTATAACAACTACTATAATATTATTTAAAAATTTATAAAATTCTTATTTTCTATCTATAATACTCGTTAAATAATTATTTTTTTATCTACAGCACCCATTAATTGTGTTATTCGTGTCGAATCTTAATTTGACCCACTTATTACTCGTGTCAACTAATCGGATTATTTTCGGGTTCCTGTCGAATTCAATTCGATTCGGATTCGTGTTAACGGAAAAAAATTGACATCCTTACTTACACGGACATTTTTTCATTTTTTAACAATTTTCTTGGTTTGTTTCATTTTGTTAGATAATTTTGGATTTTCTGCTAATTTTATGAGATAATCAATTTGTTTAATAATTTATTATATAATTTTGATAATTATCTTTAGTCAAACTTGCATATATTAGATTTATCAAAAAAAAAAATTATCAACGAGAGGAAAGGGACAAATATTTATTTATTTTTGCTGGAAGGGGGGGCCAAATATTTCAATTTTAATATACTGAAATATTGCAAAAACAAGATGAAAACAATTTTTTTTTTTTTATAAAAATTCTGAATCATTAATCAAAACACATCGAGACACATTGAAACATAAAAAATTTTAATATTCAATCACTAATTTATTTTGCTTTTCATAAAAACAGAAAAGAAATTTAAATCATGAACACCTTCAGCTTATTGCAAGATTCAGGAGAAGTGAGCAATAGACAAGCTTATCCCATTTTTAAGAGACTGATTCTCAAGCTTGAACACTGATAAAATCATTTGTATACAGAAAACACTTCCAAGAAACTTGCTCCAAATTAACCCGCCTGCATGGCATCTCCATTGATATTGGTATTCCAAAGATTCCCCAGTGCAGCTGAAAATGTCTGCAGGTTCTTAACAAGCTACACAGCCTCTGGCATAAAACATGTATTCACCAAAAAAAAATTTGAATTGGACAAAACTCAGTGAAAAGTCTGTTACAGTTCTAAACAGAGGATGAAGAAGTTCTTTTGAGGGTCATCTTAAAAAGGAACAATCAAAAACCCGAGCTCGGAAGCAAACATCAAGCAAACAAGAATCTGCATGTCAGGTTAGGCTTCAAGAAGACACTCCATATGGGAGAAGTGCAGCTGCCACAATCCTGCCTTCTTCATTTAATATGTTGTAAGTTGACGCAGCATTTCTCTGCAGTAAAAAAGAAAAGGAATCCTTTAGCAATTTTTCCCTAAATAGAGCACAATAGCGACACAAGATTCTTGCAGCTGACCACAAAAATGTTGGTACAAAGATTTGTTGAGATGAGTTAAGGAATACTTTAGTAATTTTTACTAGGGTTAGTTACTAAATACCCCCTTGAAATTTCCCTGCATATATCTCTTTCAGACAAGTAGCAATATTACTTCCACTTATAACAATTTGGACCTTAGAACTGATTCAACATCATTGAACACAAGAGTCTACAAGTATGGTTTGATATTTTCACAATAAATTGAAACGACTTCTTGCTCCAATTCATTATATGACATCAGTTGTCATCGAAGCTATGTATTATGTTTGGCTTCTTGGATGAAAATTCGATGACAAATGCCCATATGGATTGTTCAATATTCACAATAAGCTCAGATTATAAGGTCACCAATAGTGAAACGCAATTCTAACAATTATTGCAAATAAAGTACAAAAAGAAATTGTTTCCGATAAATACCGAGTCAACTGTTTCTAATTTCATGCCAGTAGACCGAATGAAGCGTTGGAGCTCAGGATCTACTTGTTGGATGTATCTCCCACAGCCAAGAACTAAGATTTCTGAGATGTCAAAAGTGAATGTCTTAGTTTGAAATGCAAATACAATAATGCAGACTTATTTTTGTTGCGATAAACTGATATCTTCTACCATGTATCACAGAGGTTTACAAATTACGTCAAAAAGGGGGGAAAAACAACTTAATGGGTCAATGTGACAAGTATAACCCTTTGAAGACATTGATTTTGTTGATAATGAGGTCTTGTTTAACATTGAGGACATAAATTACATTTTAATGACTTCCAATGCTGTCTATGCCAATCATTCTTCTCTGAACCAATCCCAGGAGAAGAGGATCAGCATGAATCCCTATTCTCCATTCCAGTTGAGAATAGATAGGTATCTATTTTCTCTGTTATATCCATTTCAACTGGTACAGGGCAGCAGGTCAGCCTTTGTGCAATGTGCTTCAACGGGTCAGTCATTAAGGCTCAGCTCCAAGATATACTAGCAATTGTGGAGAGTGAATCCCAAGGCTCCTCATTGGGAGGATTTGCATCCCATTGATCCAACAATCTGTACAATTTCCTTCTAGAAAGCAGCACCTTATTATCATACCAGAATTTGGAAGGCCTAATACACCACCAAGAATTTCTTCACTTAAGCCAAAAAGCACATGCCAAATGTGGCTAGAATAGACTGTCCACAGCACATATCGGAAACTTGGGGACAGTAATCCAAACAGAAGCAGGCCCAGAAGTTCACTCTAGCATTGCTGCACAACCACCGGCTACTCTATGTTGACATATTCCGAAATGCAGTTGCCTCTTCTATAATTATATCCACAGACACACCACCCTACTGGCTGCTTGGCCGTCAAAGAAACAACTCACTCAAATAATCTAATATTTTAGGAAAAAAGCAAGGAGATGCTCCCTCAGTTTAAGGAACAAGACCAACCTACTTGCTGGACTGAAATATGAATCCTATTGATAATCATAGGCCGGAAAAAATGCAGCCTCCAAAATTTACTTTTGACCCAGATACAAATATGTAAAGCTAAAATACATGAACCCAATTTGATTAAAAGGGCAAGCAACAGGTGGTTTCATGTATCGGGCTTTTGCCAAGTGAAATTTAAAAACTACAAGAGAAAAGCCATGGTAAATGGATTGCATCTATGAGAAGCTGGGTAAAATGTAAAATACTGGATTTGAGCTTTTTGATATCTTAGTATCACATCCTTCATCAAACATATGTATTTGAATTTTCACCTGGAATAGGCCGCACAATTTGGAATAGAGATAAGCTGCAAGGAAGCACAAATACTATGACTTCTCAGATACATGTATAAGAGACTCTAACAGTAAAAATTGTTTCTCTATTCAAGCCAACAGAGAATTCACAAGAAAAACACTTAATTGCTAACAAATAAACATATGGTGGACTATTCAGACACAACACAAAAAGAAATCGCCAATGAAGAAATGATATTTGAGATTCTCTGATTCGGACTTAAAAGACACATGGGGAATCCTCAGGACACTAGCTCAGGAGCTTGTAAAGACCTGTGATTGGTCTGGTAAAAACCTAAATTTTTTTTAAACTAAACCTTTTCCAAAATATATTGACATTCCCTCCAAAATTTCTTTCCAAGTTATTACCATGAGGAAAGCAATAACATCCAAAATATAAAAATGAACTTAAAAATCAAAACTCATTTTACAAATTTTAGGTCTAAAAAGCCAAAACCACGATGATTTAAATTTGCCTATCTGCTATTTTCTGATAATCTTGTCCTTGAACCCTAAGCTGACAACTAGGACCATGTTGTGTAATGCTGACCATCCCCACGTTGTGAAGAGGATGATGCAAAATTTACGCACCCTTAATGAAAGCAAAACATAATTAGAGGATGCAATACAGATAGATTGCATGATATAAATAGTTTGTGGCAATGCTAAGTAACTGAGGAAGCCGAAGTAATGGTTATAAATTAAAACCAGTACCGTAGCCACTATCTTAAAATATTGATAAAACTTTCTCACCACTATGAGTTGAAAATGCTTAACGATCAAAAACCAGTTTTTAAAGAGGGGCTCAATAGTCCTGCCAACATGCTGACATATCCATCAAATACCAAGAGTCTAAACTATCCAACTTAAGGGAAAAAAATATATAAGCAAGTAATGGCTCAACTCAATTCAACAACAACTTGTTCCAAATATTTGGAGAACAATTGGCTAAGTTCAAAAATTCAAATAAAAGATTAAGTGCGTGCAATCAATCTATCTTAAGTTCATATGTGCAACAGACAATTTCACTTTACACTGAAACAAGAATTAAGACACATAACCATGTTTAACAGCTATATGTACCTATCTGCAGTGATCTCCGAAAATGTTTTGGGGCTCCAAGACATTAGCAGGTTTCCAACACAAAGAAGGCTACCTTCATAATGAACCCCATTAACCATGAACCCTGTATCCGTAAACCTATAACACACATCCAAACAGAAAAAGAACGGCATAGCGTCAGTCACATATAGCTGGTTTGAAAGCAGCCGTGAACACGATGCACAAGTCAAAATTAAGTCTCGCACTAATTTTCAGAATGAGATTCCCTCCAATTCATTTTTTCTCTAATTCCCATCTTGTCGATTTACCCACGATGCATTCAAGTGGGGATTTATCGTATACAAGAGGTTCCTCACTCATTAATGGTGGATAGTCTCCTAAAAAAAAGTATTGGAGGGATCAAACCCCTGGTTTTTCATATTACTCAACTTAAATTTGAAAAATCCGATACCAAAATCAGATTGTGTTGTTTACTACAATCCAATTTTTAATATAAATGGACTTAATATGAAAGGATCGATAACATTAATTATTTCACATTCAGCCAGCCAATGGCTACCAACAATTTCAGAAAGCGAGAGTGGGTTTTGTGTGTGTGTGTGTGTGTGTGTGTGTTTTTTCGGGATATCTACAATTGATCATAAATTTGACAATTTAAACAAATTAAGACAAACAACGACCTTATAAATATTCAAAAAAAATGACAAAATACGAAGACATTATGAGGAAATATGAATGAATTTATTAGATAGTGTTTAACAAGTAAATCAACAATTAAACGGTATGGCCATGAATTACCAATAATATGCTAAAATGAACAAGTTCTTAAACTCAAAATCAATTTAAAAATACTGCATACGGCAAGAAATGAACCGAATTTAAGAGAATATCAAACGATTTTCAAGAATGTTGTCATTTATAGGTACAAAAAATTGTATAGAAATGAAGAAAACAACACAAAGGAAATAAAATTCGGGTACTTTTGAAAGCGTAATTGGTCCTCGGGGACGTTGTCGATGAGATTGATCTGGTCGTAGAGAGAGAAAGCTCGTCGCAATGATGGTAAAGGTTGGTTCTGTGGCTTTGGGTTTGGACTAACACCCTTTCTTAGGGCTCGCATCAACGTTGGTAATGTTGCCACTGCTCTCCGTCTCACCGCCATCTCCGTCTCCGTCTCCCTCTCTCTCTAGCTAAGAACAAAGGAATATCAAAGATCGGGGGTGTTTGTTTATTTATCCTATGTGCCCCTCAATTCTTGGTATTTGCAAATCCTCCCCATTTGTTTTCCAATTTTCCGTATTCTCCAACGCTAAGAAAATGAGTAACGAAATGACCCTAACAGTTAAAAGTGTTAACCGTGTCAATTTAGGGTTATTCGTGTTTGACATTAATTTGACGTATTTATTATTCGAGTTTACATGTTGTATCATTTACGAATTTGTGTTGAGAAATGATTAATCATAACCTATTAATTTTCGAATCTTATTTAAGTGTCGTGTCAAAAATTATCATTCTTGATCATAATTAAAAATAACTCGGGGTTATAGTACGAAAAAATTATTTCATAGCTATAACTAACTGGGGTTATAGTACCAAATTTTTTTTTCGACATTATAGCAAATCCCAAAGGAAGAACACATGAATGTAGAAAATTGTCTTGATAATCGAGAACTACTGGTTTCCTACGATGACTCTGAAGAAGCCCCATTCTGCAGAATTTCAGCGCATCAAAAGGGTCTTTCTACGCGGGAACTGGCCGGAAAACAGATGAAGCTTGAACAGTCTCTGCCATGGTCACCACCATCCTGCTTGATTTTCGGTTAAGAGCCTACTAAACCCGGCTCTTGTCGATCATCAGCCGGTAACGATACGAGTTGATTGGGTCATATCCGACTCGACGCTTTCCGAAACGGTATCGATATACAGTACATATAAATTCCAAAGTGCCGCAAAACTCAATCGAAATATATCCAGGTTAATCCCCAGTCGTCGAGATATCATCACCAAATCGTAAGCAACACTGCATTTGATCTGAATCTCTCGTCAGATGGGCATACGAAACCTGAATCAATCAGCAATCATTACTACATTTCAGCAGCTATGTAACCCATATTCTTCTCGAATAGTACTAGATTAATTTACCTTGTAACATACAACTAATTCAAGCAAAATAAAACATCAATGAACACAACCTTACTTATTACACCATGAACAAAAGATTGCCCATTACTCCTCAAAACGGGTAAAAAAAAATGAAGATGTTGCAAATATTATTGCAGAATGGCCATTATATTGTAATCTTTTATTTGAAAAAACATGTAAACAAAAAGGTTACATAAATGTCTAAAGTCAAAACTCATGAGGTAGCATATGAAGGGGCAGGAAAGAAAGGGAATGGTGCAACTGATGCATATGCTACCAACAGCAGAGGCTGTTAACTTTATTCTGATGGTTGATAATTTCAGTTTGTGTCAGTAAAGTATCCGGGTAAGATGAAATGTCAAGAATCCTCTCAGAATTCTCCACTGCTAAGCACTCTTGGCTATCACATTCGCGATGACACAGAAGCCCAAACATAAACACCAGAAGATAGAGAAGGCTGGCATGGAACATTCTCCTGGCATTCTTTGATGTGCGGTTTAAGTAAAATGATAGCTGTAGCACTGATTTCAAGAGCAGGTAGTGTTGATTCAAGACAGACCATCTGGAAGTAATGCCCTCTGGCCTCTGCAGACACCATTTGATAATTAAGCAGTGCAATGGGATGAATTCTCCATAATAAATAACCACCAAGTCATTTTAAACGGAAATCACACATTCATGCTACGGTTGCTTGCAGTTGCACTTTAGGCAATGGATATTTCCAACAAAGGAAAGCTGGAGAAGGGCAAGAAAGGGCAGTGAGGGGAGGGGTACAGTATATTGTTGAATAAAGCCACTTTTTGGGCTAAAAGATCT